ATTCATCCTACGCGGGCTCAAGCGTAGGTTGGGCGAAGTAAAAAGGGGTTGGGTCGAAGAACTACATAGTGTCTTATGGGTGTATCGAATGATACCCCACTCGATGACGAGTGAGACCCCGTTCTGACTAACCTATGGCACCGAGGTTGTCATCCCCGTAGAAATCTTGGAACCATCCATACAAACTGATGCCCATCTAGACGAGGAACTAAATGACGAGGCCCTGAGAGAAGAGCTTGATCTAGTCGAGGAAATCTGTTAAGGAGCAGCTCTTCGTGAGGCCAAACTGAAACAACAAATAACCCTTCGCCATGACAACAAAGTCATAAAGCGTGAATTCCAGCTCGACAGCCTAGTCCTATAGAGGAATCAGAAAGATTCCCGTGAAGGGGAATTGGCTGCGAACTGGAAAAGACCGTACCGCGTCCGCGAATCTACGGGCACCGGGGCATACTACCTCGAACATTTAAATGGAGAACCATTACCTCAACTATGGAACGCTACGAAACTGAAACAATATTACAACTGAGTCCTTATCCTACTATGGGCATTTGTAGTCAACCAGTCCTCTCCAACCAACGACGAGACGGGCTCGGCCATGTAGGCATGTTAAGGTACAGACATGGCCTCAGACATCAATGCCAGCGGGTTGTTATTCATTTCTCGAGCAGAACCTTAGCCCGACATGGATCCCTCAATCGAGTTCTGCTATCGAAGTACCTAATAGGCAGAACTCCCAGCTCGCGATGGGAAGTTCACGCCATGAGCTTAAGATCCCGACCGCGATCTTAAGCTCGTTACAAGGATCCCTACTCTACAACCTCGACACATCCCAACATGTATCGTCCACAACCAAGGTCGAGCATAAACATCCACTCATGAAAATCACAAATTTTCTCAAAATAAACAAGTAAAAAACAACAACGAACAAATAGCTAGCAAGCATCGACGAAAACGTAAAGGAATAAAAACAATTTAGAGACATTTATAAATGTCGACCACAAAGGCTGATATTGTCCTAATATTACAATAAGTACAGGCATGCAGGCCTCGAACACAAACATCTAAAATATCAGAAAAACTAATCACTTCGAGGAGTGCTCACTTCGACCTCAACCTTGAGGGAATCATGAGGGGGAACAACCCGACCATCAATGACTTGGGACAATACCCCAACACCATCAGTGTTAAGCCTAGGATTCAACATAGACAGTTGGGTCAGTGTAGTCTCGAAGCCGTCGATCAAAGCATCAGTGCAATCCAACTCGAGGATCTGGATCCGAGCAATTAGCTCTGCCAGGGAATGAAAGTCAACAACTGCTTCAGATTCTCCGTCCACGGGAAACATTGTAGCCTTTAAATCGAAAATGTCCTTTTCCAACCGTTCCATCTCGAGCAATAGGGAATCTCTTTCCTCATAGGCTTTGGAAGTTTTGTCTTTCTCCCTCGTTAACTCGTCAGCCTGCACTTGAAACTTCTCCTTGCTCCGCTCGAGGGAACTTTTTAGCTTTTGTGTCTTCGCCTGAAGAGCCGCCTTCTCCGACTCCAATTCCCTCACCAGTCTAGAAGAGCCAGATCCTTCACATGCAAGGACAACAACCATCTCCGCGACCTTCATCAAATCGGCCATCCTGGAAGCCAGGTGCTTCCTTCGACCCTCCTCATTGAGGCGCTTGAGAATGTCAGACTCAACATCGGATACGGTTAGAGGGAAACCCTCGAAGAAATCCTTTTCCACAAAATAATGTGGCAGGTTGAAGGCCCGGGCAGTCACCCCCTCCTCGACTGCACTTGTAAGTCCACCTTTTGGACGACTTCTCTTATTGCTCAAAACAGTCGCGTGTTGTGCGGTGTCGCGGGCACCCGATGACCCACTCAAACCATCCCTGGCCGACTTTAAGACCAGGCCAAGGCGTTCACGATGCTCCTCCATGTTATCTGCAAAAACAAAAACGATATCCCTGGGTTAGTCTCGTTAGAAGGACATAAGAAAAAGCTCAAGAAGTAAAAATGCAATAAATCACGCGAGCAAAAACCTAGAAGGTTCACGGCTTGCCCATCGGTTCGACATTCCACGAGCGCCTTGGTGTTGATCGGGCGCACCTCGAACGTCAGTTCACCATCTTCGGCGAGAATGAATGTCATGTCCTTCCCTCATAACTCACCTCGAGGGAAAGAACTTGTCGATGAATCGAGTGAGGATATCGTAGGACTCTTCATCCTCGGCACTCATACTGCCAACAAGGGTGTGGTAATGGCCAAGACTATGCTCGTAGTGGCCCGAGCACCAGTGGATAGGGAACTTTAAAAGTCTCTCAATATCTGGATTACCCTCCTCGTCGCAGCATACCTCCCCGTCTTCATCCACTACTTGAACCGGGTCAAACACGAAATCCACAGCCGCATGAGACGATGGTCACACGACATACCATCTATCCTTGAAGTCGCGAACATAATCCATGTACATCCTAAACAGCCTCTTCGACTGTTTCAAGGAAACCCAACTATGTTTTCCACCCCTAAATTGTTGTTGGAGGTGGAAAACCCTGAAGAACAAAGGAATGGTCGCTCCGATCCTCAGGAACTGACAATTGATTTCGAAAGCCCGAAGGAAGGCAATCATATTAGGATGTAATTGAGAGGGTGCCAAGCTCAAATGGTTAAGCACGTCCATCTGGAAATCATTGAAGGGAAAACGAAGCCCCAAGTCTTTGAAGACGACCTCATGCATAGGGAAGCGATCCTCCTCGAACTCCATGCATATCCTGGTCGTGGGAGTTAGTCGCAAGATCGTGAAGTTCCAACGAAAACCTTCCATGTTGCCTCCATGCTCGACGACGATATAGGCTTCCCTTCTACTATAACTATAAATCGAAGCTATCCCTCGAGGCTCTGGCCTGACCCAGGACAACGCGGGGTCGTCGACCATGTCGACCAGATGGAGCCCTTCCTCAGTGGAACTTGTCTCTTCGACATCTATGTGCTTGGATGACTCTGGAGTATCGACCATTTCACCTGTAAAGCAGTGGAAACCAGTGAATTCGACAGCAAAATCACATCCACCCCTCCATCACAGCAAGAGTGAAAAGGGGATGGCTACGCCCAGAGTAGGTCGACAATCACTTGAGCAGTGAGGAACATACACGATCCACGATCAACACATGAAACTTATAGAAATCTCATAAGACCGCACAATAATGATAATAACGAAATGCATATTTCATGAATAACGCGGGCAAGGGATAAATATCGCGAGAAGATCCATGGATGATGCGAGGAACATACGAATTTTTCGGACAAATTCATGAATTCGTCGAGGAGCATATTAATTCCCCGCGTAGATTTCATGAATTTCGCGAGGAACAAATGGATGTCACGGAGAAGAAATGAATATCACGAGCCCACTCACAAATGTTACGCATGAATGTATGAACGCCCCGAGCAAAAACCCCCAGTAACGAATTTCTATGAAGAATCATCAAAAAAGCTAATCGTAAACAACATTCTATGCGGAAAACACTTACTTGATCAAGAAGTAGATAGAGAATCTGCGGCGATCTTACGGCGGTGTTGATGGTGGGAAGATAGAGAAACGACACAAGCAACAGAGAAAGTGAAGAGAGCGAAAGTTGAAATGTGGGAAATGGGCCCCAAGCCGCTATATCTAGGGATGACGTGGAATACAAAGTGTTGCGTCGAGCATACCATCGACCACCCTTCTCCTTGTCACCTACGCGCTCAGGTAATGATGACCCTACTCCATAGGCCATCATTACTATCCCAAAGGTCACGCCACGTGCCCACACCCTACATGGTTTCCTCTCCCTGCGAGTCGAGGAAGAACTGAAATGTTCCCCATCAAGCCAATTTCAACCTCTGCTCGAGATCACGTGCATCCTAACGACCATCTCACTCGATACAGTAAAAGATTCCCGACGAGATTATGCTCATCATAAGGTGAAGTTAGACTTAAGTCACAACTCCTTCGTCAATATCAACGACTTGGAGGGCTCCTGTTCTGGACTGGGCCTGCACTTGGCCCAACTTCATACTAGGTCCAATTTAACTATGCTGCTTGAGCAGGTCTATTGACCGAATCTGTCCTCAACTATGTCGGGCAGTAACCTCACCCATTGGGAAACCTGACGTCGCCGTACGGAGATAAGTCCAGGAATCACAAGGAGACTCGTCGTCGGTCAGGAGGACCTCGCGAGCATCCTCCATTCCTCTCGTCGATCAAGATAAGCCCCTTGGACGACCCATAGCTTGCGGGGAGGCCCCACAATGACACAAAGACATCGCGAACACCCTCCTTGTGGGGTTGACTCACCACACCCCCGAATATCACAGAGTCTTCTTGGTCCCGAAAAGACCGCATCCATATCCTATTGACTATTCAGGAGAATCCATCAAGGTTGGGGACCACATGCTGACCTCACTACGCACGTAGAACCTGACAGTCTATGTTTTTAGCCTGCTTGCTTAGCCCAACGATGGAGACCTTGGCCCAACACTGTGAGTTATAAATACCCTATCTCTTGAGAGGGTCAAATATTCATTCTTTCACACTCACTCTCATACTTGCTCGCACTGCTCTGAACCTTACTTTGACATCAGAGTGTCTTGCAGGTACCCTGCAACTCACTTCTAGTTGTTGCTCAACTCACAACTCGTAGACCTTGACGATCCACTCTGGTCAAATACAATTATTTTTATTATTTATATTACTATTATTTTTATTACTACTATTATTATTTTTATTATTACTATTATTATTATTATTATTATTATTAATTATTATTATTATTTTTATTATTATTGTTATTACATCACAATATCTATCAAAAACAATGATTACATCACGTCACATAATAATGTAAGAACAATAATAGTGTAATAGTCCACGACGAGTGCGCGGGTTCTGAAAACCTAGGAGCAGGACGCACCCGCCTCATTTCCTTCACCTCATTTTTCACCTTCTGCCACTCGAGAACAAAATTATGAGAAGTAACTTCTTTCCACCTCCATTGAAGCGCTCAATTCCCGGGTTATCCGACCCGATTCAAAACGGATCTTCCAAGCGCCCGAAGTCATCTCCTCCCGGACAAGTGACATTCCGTCTTCTCTGCAACTCCTCCCGCATTGGCGGCGTCATTGGCAAGTCTGGCTCCGTAATCAAAACCCTCCAACAGTCAACGAGCTCCAAGATCCGGATAGAGGATTCTCCGAATGAATCGCCGGACCGAGTCATCAATGTCATTGCCTCCGGTGCTCCGGATGGAAATGTTATACTGGGCGGCGAGGCAATTGATGCTTCGATTGCTCAAGAAGCGCTGCTGAGAGTGTTTGATAGGATTCTGGAAGTTGCGGCGGAAATGGAAGGGGTTGAGATTGGGGATAGGATAGTGTCTTGCCGGTTAGTTGCTGATGCGGCGGAGGCGAGTTCTGTTATCGGGAAGGGAGGGAAGGTGGTGGAGAAGATAAAGAAAGACACTGCGTGCAAAATTAGGGTTTGTAGGGATAATTTACCTGCTTGTATATCCTCTCCTGACGAAGTGATTGAGGTATGATGATTCTTGCTCTTCAGTTTTTGACTTGTCACTCAAGATTTCAGCTCGATTACTTTAACTACATCACTCCATTCCATTATTACTTCAGTGTAGTGCTAGTTTTTACTTCCTAGGTTTATCTGTTTAGTAGGATATGTTTTCTCGCTTTGTAGAATATTGCTATGGATTTGTGATGTTAGTGAATTGAATCCATATTAAGTATTGAGAAACTGGAATTGAATGCAGTTTGTATCTCCTTTGGCATTTCCAACATCCTTATAAGTACGCCATAGTGGGAAATGTTTATGGTTTTTTAGTTCAAACAATTTACCCTAAAACAACCAAAAGTTTAGTACGTTAAATGCAGTTTTAGATATATCCGCCTTGGCGGCCCTATGGCAGATATCCATGACGGTTTTTGGACTCATCGCAATGGTAAATATTGACCAATACTGTGAGTTTTTCTGCATAATCTGCTATAAAGGTGCCACAAAGCAGTCGGTGTGGTGGTATTTTGGCTCTCCGCCATGGACCACCATCGATAACACTTGATATGATTGAGCAAGTGATTCGTTGAGGTCAAAGTATGCAACGACTTTTCAGACAATATGCTTGTTTAGGGTGTTTCTTGTGATTTTGACCTATTAGGCATATTGACGAAGTTTTTCAAATCTTATAAGCTTATTGCATGTCATGGTATTAAGTGAGATGGAGGAGGGATTCTTTGGATTATATTTTCTAAGTAGTATTATTCATTCCGGGTTTTTTGCTTTATTACTGATATAATTGTTATAAACTTTTCATAGTATTCTTGGACTTCTGATCAAGGTTATCAAAATTGCAATTTAGATTGTAGTATTGTGCAATTTCATAATTTTACTAGTCCCTCGCGATCCAAATCATGCATAAAATCGTTTTCTTAGCTAATCATAGTGAGATTGCACAATCATAGCCAAGATCGTGAAATTGTACAAGCACTGCCAAGATTGTAAAAACGAATTGGGAAGCAATAGTGCAGCCATTTCTATCTGATTCGCGACAAAGTCACAAAACAATGTGATTCACTCAATTTCTTCTCTCTCCCACATTTATTTAGCAACACACCAGACAAGAGAAGATAATAAGATGATGAAGAGATGAAGAAGATGAAAGAAGGGTGTTGCCACTTTCCGTTGCCGTGTGAAGGTAATAGAAGAAAGTGAACATGGTGCTTTGCAGTAAGGGACCAAGGGATATAATGTTAACATGATAATTTGGGTTACTTCATTCTTTCTTTTTAGGTACAAAGGTTACTTTACTCTCTTAAACGACCTTGGCCCAATAAAAATAAATATGGTGTGAAATACCTTTTGTTTCACGGAAGCCTAAGTTCCCAATAATATATAGCTAAGTAATAGTAATATAAAATTTATTAAAATAAGTAATAATATTAAAATACTTAATGGAAACACTGGTTTATAAGTTAGGATATACTCCCTCCGTCCCATATTATAAGCAAATTTCACTTTTTAGATTTGTTAAATAATTAATGTATCTGGTTTATATATAGTCTAGATACATCAATTATTTAAGGAATCTAAAAAGTGAAATTTGTTTATAATATGGGACGAACGGAGTATAGTATACTATAGTATAGTTTTTAATTTTAGTAGGACCTTACAATCCTTGTTATGAACTTATGATCTTGGTACCACTCTCGATCTCACATAATTAATTGGGTAGAATCTTACTATGTTGGTTGCGATCTTACGTGTTACAATCTTGGTTGCGATCTTACGTGTTACGACCTTGGTACCCCCTTTTGATCTTAAGCAAGATCTTGATCTTAACAATATTGCTCCTGATTTCTTAACTTACTTTCTTTGAAAAAAAGAGGTCCTACTTTTGATTTAACACTTCGTGATCAGATTAATTTTTTTTAATGGTGAAGCTTGTAGTTGAGACTCCTATTTAATACATGTAGCCCGATTCTTGATTGTTTGACTAGAACCCATGGCAAGACATTGTTTGCTAGTGATATATTGTATTAAAGGGGACTAAGCAGGTTATCTAGTGTTATAAGGGCATATAAAGAAAATATATAAAACATATAAGGTACTTTTCACTTTGACTACCTTGGATGCATATAAGGAAGAATCTTAATCTCATTGGTTAAGATTCGTAACTTTTTCCCACCGGCCAATCAAAGAACATATGTATAAAATGTGTTTCATTTTATTTATGCTTGAAAATATTCTCCTTATGTATACTTAAAAAAACATCTTTTGGTTTTGTGGTAGATAGAAGGCAGCGTGTCATCCGTAAAGAAGGCACTTGTTGCGGTCTCTCATCGTCTTCAAGATGGTCATCATGCTGATAGAGCAAAGATGACGGGACAAAATCCTTATGAAACTTTAGTTGGAGTACCTCGTGAGACTTCAAATTCAGCTCCACATGATACTTTAATTGGAGCTCCACGTGAGACTTTAATCGCAGCTCCACGCGAAACATTAACTGATCTGCATGTGGATCATCTTCTGCAAAGAGGCTCCGCACTCTTTGCTTCACGTAATTGCTCTAACAGCCATACCACTGGAGTTCATTCCTTGTCGGCAGAAGTTAATAGAGTCTCATCCCTAGAACCAAAAGCACATCAGCAAGAAATCAACTTCAAAATTATTTGTTCCAACGATAGAATTGGAGGTATCATTGGAAAGGGTGGGAACATAATTAGAGCTCTTCAGAGTGAGACAGGGGCCACTATAAGTGTGGGCCCTTCAGTAGCTGAATGTGAGGATCGATTAATTACTATTACCGCTTCAGAGGTTTGTTAAATTAATTCTTCCTGTTTTACTCCTTTCATTCCTTTGCGTATTTGTTGTACGTGTATCTTCGTTATTGCTTTTTATTAACTTTTTCTCTTGGTGGTGGCTTCATTTTTATTGCAGAGTCCCGAGTCAAAATATTCCCCAGCACAAAAGGCCGTGGTGCTTGTTTTCTCCAGGTCTGTTGAGGCTGGTATTGAGAAAGGGATAGATCCTGGATTAAATACAGGTTCACCTGTGACTGCACAACTTGTAGTCCCATCAAACCAAGTTGGTTGTTTGTTAGGAAAAGGCGGAGTAGTTGTGTCAGAAATGAGGAGGGCTACAGGGGCTAGCATACGAATAATTGGAACTGATCAGGTTTCTAAATGTGTGTCAGATAATGATCAAGTTGTACAGGTTTGATTTCGGAGATGTCACTTTCTTTTATTTTATTTTACGTTAAACATGCTGAAGAATGTATTTTATTTTTTTAGTGAATGTTATTTTGTGTTTGTATCTAGCAACTCTAACAAATCTCCCCATAAAAAAGTTCTCATCCTCCATCATGCTAAGTCTATTGTGCTAGTTATGCACTTCTTTTTTGCCAAACTCTTCAATATTTACTTAAAGGCATTTGAATATTTTATGGTATGCGAAATTGTAAATCCTTTCTCTGAAACATACATACCCAGCAGACTCTAATAGCAAATATTGTAGATTGAAAATACTAATGCGGTACCATAAGCGGCTGTGAAATTGTGGGCCTAATCTGTCAACCTCTCAATCCAGCCCAAACGCCATCTAAGTCCTCAACAACTCACAATTACTTCAAGTTGGCAACATTGAATGTTCCATCACCACTGTTCTTTCCCATCTCATCGACACCCAACTCATCAGCGTTGAAGCAATCATTTGAACCTACCCCCGCTCCAACATTATTAACAAATTCTGCATCTCTTGTCAGACTCACATATTCACTCATTTCTCTTTAATGCCATCAATGTCTGTTTTTCCAATTCCCATGTTCAGTTCATTTCATATTCTGATCCTTCTTTGCTAATTTCTATTTATTCTTAACCTTTTTGATGCCATGAAGATACTGATTCTCCCATATTTTAGCTGCTCCTCCATTTCTTGGGCCTGCTATTTTCTATAGTTCCTTAACAGGCAAATCCTAATAATTCTACTTCATTTTAGCAAAATTTTGATGCTGAATGCCACTACCCTACCCCATCTCATACCTTCCACTTCTGCTTAAAGAAGGAGTAGGCATCGGTGCCTCTTTCAACAAATTGGCTCTCCACATCCTTAATCCAACTTCTGGAACCACTCCTGCTCCCCCTTTCAAACCGCTGCTCCACACTACCTTTCAAACCTCATACCACTCTTTAAGAAATGGCACCCTGCTCAATGTCAGCCTCTGGTTCATGTAGTGTTAAGGACAATAAAGCCTTTGAAAGGGCTATAGCTGTTTATGACAAAATACCAAACGGTGAGACTCTTCTATGTTGCTCCCCATAAGGGTGAGACTCTCCTATGTTGCTCCACATAAGGGTGAGACTCTCCACATCCTTGATCCAACACCGAGAACCACTCACGCTCTCCCATCAAGTCAAACCAGACTCTATACCATTGTTGAGCCTTTTAGGGGAGCCTAAATCCCCAGGGGATCATCATATTGGGCTAGATAGCACAGCCAAACTAGTGAGTTTGGCCACTATACAAGTCCTCTCACTTATAAGTTTTTCATCTAATGTGAGGCTTCTAAGTAACACTTGACACACTAACATATTTATTATTGTTTTTTTAGTAATTTTTTTCCTCTTATTTCAATGCAACTTCTATTATTAAGAAAAAAAAGACCCCTGTGTGTATTGTGCACTTATTTATGATCTAATAGAGATTAATATTTTTTTCCTATAGCATTTCTATGTTGCACACAAAGATCTAATATGTGTAGTTCACCATATTTGTTCAAGTCATCATGATAGTTCTTGCAGTGATTATAAAATATATAGTAGTTAATATTCTATCTATAATACTCTTTTTTCTCAGATATCAGGCAAGTTTCAAAACGTACAAGATGCATTATTTAATGCAACTGGTAGACTGCGAGATAATCTTTTTGGTGGCACACAGAATAGTGCTGGGACAAGGAGCCTTTCCTCCGTAGAAGCTGATACCAGTCCCTATGGAAGACTAAGAGATATTCCTTTTGGAGGCCAATCCTCTTTACGAGCTGATACTGGTCCATACGTAAGACCGAAAAATGTTCCTTTTGTAGGCCAATCCTCTTTACAAGCTGATACCAGTCCCTATGTAAGACTCAGAGATGTTCCTCTTGGAGGCCAATCCTCTTTACAAACTGATATCAGTCCCTATGTAAGACTGAGAGATGGCCAGTCCTCTTTACAAGCTGATACCAGTCCCTATGGAAGACTCAGAGATGTTCCTCTTGGAGGCCAATCCTCTTTACAAGCTGATATCAGTCCCTATGTAAAACTGAGAGATGGCCAATCCTCTTTACAAGCTGATACTAGTCCCTTTGCAAGACTGAGAGATGTTCCTTTTGGAGGCCAGTCCTCTTTACAAGCTGATACCAGTCCCTATGGCCGATTGAGAGATGTTCCTCTTGGGGGCCAATCCTCTTTACAAGCTGATACCAGTCCCTATGAGAGACTGCGAGATGTTCCTTTTGGAGGCCAATCCTCTTTACAAGCTGAAACCAGTCCTTATGGGAGACTGAGAGATGTTCCTCTTGGAGGCCAATCAGCTGCAGACGTTTCTCATAGTTGGAGTAGGCACACTTTTTCTCAAGGCATTGATCATTTTGCTCTTAGTAGAACTTATGATTGTCCCTCTTCCCCAGGCTTATGGACACCACCGGTATACATCTTCCCAAAATTGTTGTTATTACTGCTACTGTTATTATTACTATTGATTGATTGATTAATCTATCACAGGGAGTTGCTGGGATCAATTCAAGAAGCATTAATGAAGCTAGTTGGGGATTGACATCTCGAAAAGGCGGTGTAGAACTTATCAGGTTGTTGATATGCAAAACAAAGTAGACTTGTTTAATGGAAATCTATTATTTAGGTTGAAACTAATTAAAAATTATCTTGGCATCCGAAAATCTAAGGGCTTGTTTGGTTTCCGAAAACTTTTTTGTTTTACTATTAATTAAAAAACTTGTCATCTTGTTTTACTTCATTTCTTATTTTCAACATATCTTGTACAAATATTTGAAAACAGAAAACAGTGTGAAAATGAGGCGGCAATTTTGTAATTAAAAGTGAAAACATTAAACGTTTTATGAAACCAAACAGGCCTTAGATTTTTATAATATTCAGGGCTATTTATGGTGAGATTTAATGAATGAGATGTCTGTGGCATGTACTGAAATAGCTTTTGGTAGACCCATTATGCTTGCGTAGTAGAAAATGTCAAATAGGGTTATGGAAATGGGCAGGGGCTCAACTTCCCAAGAATGAGAGGTAAAGAAATCATGTTGCATAGTGAGGAGAATAACAGAATAACTACATAGCAACAGGTGAGTAGGGGGGAGGGATACGGGAATGATGGAGAGAAGAGGTATTTAGGGGAAGGTAACCGAATTGAAAGCATCATGAGAAGTGTGAAGTAGGGAAACATTACATACTTGGTATAGAAATGATTCCTACCTCAGTAAGGGTATTATCTCTTCTTGAGAGCACCGTTATCACTTCCTGAAGAGATCATCTCCATCCATTGTTATTTTTCAGTTTCTACTACTTCTGTTTTACTATTTTCTGTGGGTTCCTATCAGCTTCCTTGTGCCAACAAGTTCATCTTGTAATGTTTTCTTTTATATAATACCTTCTGCAACACTATTATAGTCATTTGGAGTGTTATACCGAATGTGAGTTTCTTTTTGAAACTCAAGAATATTAGGTGATATTGAGCCATGCATTCTACTCCCTGAACCTAATATTATACCTAACTTGCGACTACTGTTTAATTTGACATTCATGTTCTTGGGTCATTGCACATTTGCACTTATTTGAGATCCTTCTTTGGCGGGATCCTGTAGCCGATGCGACATGATTTCTGATAGTGGTGGAAGAAATAGTACATTAAACATATAAAATATGATGCCATAAACTGTCGATTTCTTATTATTATTTTTGTTTGGTCAGCAGTGGAAGTAAATCCGCAATTGTGACTAATACAACTATAGAAATTGTGGTTCCTGAGGATACTCTATACCTTGTATATGGGGAAAATGGTAACAATCTGGCTCGACTGAGACAGGTATACAACATGGAAAAATTTACTGATGTTTTATCCTTGCGAACACATATTTGTGACCACAACTTGGATTTCAAATTGCTATATGCTTGTGAAGCCTTCTATCTTCCCTTTATATTTATATTTTTTCTTTCTTGTCCTTGTCCATATCAGATTTCAGGTGCTAAGGTTGTTATCCATGAACCTCATCCTGGAACAAGTGACAGGACTATTGTCTTATCCGGTTCACCGGATGAAACCCAAGCAGCGCAGAACCTTCTCCAAGCATTTATTCTTGATGGATCATCGTAACATATCGTCCCCTCACCAATTTTCAAGTAGATCATATGTAACTTATTGAATGTATTGTTTTTTTTAACCTTTTCTTGGCTTGATTGAGCCACAAGAAATCATGTAAAATCCAGCCTTCCTGTAAATTTGACTTAATCGTTATAGCCGTGGCTCTCGATCGAATGCTAGAGTAACTTCAGACATCAAATTGCTTGATTTTTTTAGTGCTTACCGTAAGCATAACAAGAAGATTGTATTAGCATGTCATGAATCAACTACAGATCCTTTTTTAGTGTGGATGATTTTATTAAATTGGCTTTTTATTCTCAGGATTATTATTTCTAGGAATAATATTCTTATGTAATTGTTCGGTCAAAAATTTAAAATTCATAGGAATGTTTACAATATTTATTTTATTTAAAAATTCTAAAAATTAAAAATAAAACAAATGTGAGTAAGAGTTGAAAGTTTGAGTTAATTATATTTTATTCTCATGGAAATGTTGGATTCCCATCCTTTTAAGTATGAGAATAATTATGACAAAAATGATGTGTAAAAATATTCTTTAGAATAAAAAATACTTAAGAATAATTTTTAAAAATTTGAAATAAACATGAGATTGTTATGTTTCCAATGTCTGATATCTGAGAATACAATTTTAATTCTTGAAAGAAACACACCCGTAGGAGAGAATTTTGGAGGAAACAATTAAGATATTGTGATCAAATGATAAAACTAATGGTTATGAAATTTTTGGGATCCATTTTGTAACACAAAACTTGATGACAACTGAGAATCATAGTTTTCACACCATGATAAATAACATTTAATAGAAGGAAGTAGCATGAATGAATGCTTATAAAACTAGCAATCATGAAAGTATTTTTTTACCCTTTCAGGCTTCTTTTACAATTTTGTTTGGGTACATGGTGTTTCAGTTGACAGCAGCAGCAGGGGTGGGATTAAGAGTGATTTCCACATTGTCATGAACTCCTTGCAGCAGCAATTCACCTTCGTATGTTAATACTTTTCGCTTTTTAGCTGCTCTTAGTGTCCCAACAAGTGCTTCAAATATATTTGCACATTGATCATCATGAAATAGCGTTCCAAATGTAACCTTCACAACACAATCCAAACCCACATTTTGTTCATTCATCTCAAGAAACCATTCATCAGCAAAAACAACTCCACATGATAATTAAAGAAAACCATTCATCGGCCTGACACTGACCATGTAGTTACATTTAATTAATTAATTATTTCAAATTTATATTAGCATCGACATGTCAGGTGTTTATGATTGTGTGTGCGCTTCATATGTTAGATGTGTGTCCACGCTTCATAGGTTAGATATAACATTAAGAGATCCACCCATTTGAACCGAAGATGCAGATCCACAAACAGAAAACAAGACAAGTATAAAACAAAATATGGAAAATTGGAATTCTGCATACAGATCTGAATTGAAAAGAAAGAGAAGGATATTCATTCATATTACCTTGTAAGAACCATCTGATTGGAGCTTGCCAAGCCTCTTGATTTCTTCCCTTAGGCGTCCAACCTCTTCTTCCACATTCATGCTTCTGCTTCCAACTTGTTATTATTATTATTGTTTCTCAGATATTACAACAACCTTAATAATTAAAATAAAACACAAAACATTATCCTTCACCTTATACCATTTTATATTAGTGCCGTGGAAAAAAAAAAAGAGGAAGATACATAAATTAGAGCCATTTATTTTATTTAGTGTAACCTCAGTATCTTCTCAGTGGATCGCAACCGTTGCATGAATCAAACGGCTGAAATTTCAGTTACTCTCAACAGTACTTTCCCTCTCTTTTCTTCGTTCATACCCTATCGTCGATCAAATCGGGCCGCGTGTTGCCGCCACGGCGAGGGGATACCACCGGACTTTGGCGTCGAGCAGCGGAAGTTTTACCGGTAACACGAGCCGGTGACGGCGGCATTCGCTACTCCGTCTCTTCCCTCAGTAGATGCGTATGAAGAGAGATCGTCTTCTTCTTCATCTTTCAGGGAGCTTGTTACGGTTAATGGTTCTCTTTTCTCTCTGCCTTCAATTCAATCTATGTTTTGTTGTTTAAGATACTCTATGTTATACACATACAGGTCGAAAGGACGTATGTATCATCTTCATCTCTGTGCTTTATGTTAATCTACGGTTGAATTATTGTGGTTTTGAGAATGAAAAATCATTTAGCAACATAGTTGAAGAACTTACTGAAACATAAAGCAGACTCACTTGCAAAACCTATATTATACTAATTTCAATACCATGTTCAAAATAAATTAATTATGAGTGTTTGTATTCTAGAGTGATTGTTAGTATTCTTAGACTAAAGATTTTGCTAGGCTAGTGCTTGTTCATTAAGCTTTAATGTATTTATTGTAACACTCTATTATAAATATATATACTGTGATCTAACTTAAGACACACAATTTATAAAATTTCTATAAGGTATCAGTAGTGGTTCATCCTAGGTCTGTTCTACATTTTTCTACTTGAATGTTTCCTTACTCCAACCACTGTTTTACACACTTCTAGTTGTGCTATAACCAGCCGTGCTATATCCAGTTCAACCTACTGCCGTGAAATATTCCAGCGAGCTTGACAATCATTTTTCTGATGTTGTATTCCATCAATTGACATCAAGCACTGACCATCCAGAGCTCTCTGCCACATTTCAAGGTGTTTTCATCATTTTTTTGGTGATTTTTCAGCAACTTTTTTGGGGCTGGACCTGCTGCCTCCTCTTCTTCCGCTTTCAGTTTCACTACGCTCCCTCTGATTCCTTGCAAAACAATTGGTTGGTAGTGCTAATTATGCAGGTTGGGCTGCTGCTGTTGAACTTTGGTTTCAAAGACAAGGTCGTGAGGATCATGTATTTTCTCAAACCGCTCAAGGATATTCCACTCGGAGATCAAGCAATTGGAAACAGGTTTATGCCTCCCTCATCATTGTTCTTTGGTATTCTATCGATGTTAAACTTCAATCTCAATTTCTTTTTTTTAAGACATGGTATGGCGTTTGGGCAAAGGTGAAAAGACCTATTCCAACGATTTTAATCGTTTGTACAAAGGTGTCTCTAATTTTATGAAGAAAGAGGACATGAATATACAAAGCTATGAGGGGAAACTTGATAGTTTGATTGCTGATTTTGATGCAGTTATGCCTTTTACTGACAATGTCGACAAATGCTCAACAACGTGGAAAATTCTTTATGGTTCTAGTACTTGCCGGTCTTACATCGGACCTTGACTCAGTCCGAAACCAAACTCTGTCTAGTGCATGTGTCCCCTCATATGACATTGTTTGTGAGCAGCTACTGCGTCTCTCTGCTCCTTAAACTTCTATTCCAGCCCTTGCTTATCTCAATGAGCCAAATGACTCTACTGCCCTCGTCTCAAATTCTTATCAACAAGGTGGTAGAGGACGAGGACGTGGAAATAATAGGACTCGGCCTCGTTGCGTATTGTAACTGTTTTGGCCATGTTGAGGCACAATGCCGAACGAAAGCTATTTGGTTGCTGTCAAAAGTTTCCAATGTTACTCAAACTGAAGCGCCTTTGATACACAAGTTTTTAGCCTTGACTATGGGGACACCTTCTCTCCAGTTGCCAAGATAGCATTTGTCCGCCTTTTTCTTGCCTTAGTTGCTATTCGTCAATGGCTGCTACATCAACTAGACATCAAAAATGTCTTTCTACATGGTGAATTACAGGAGGAGGTGTACATGACGCAACCACCAGGATTCAATGTTAGCGGTGCTTCTCACCTCGTTTTTTGGCTTCGTCAATCTTTTTATAGCTTGAAACAATCTACATGTGCTTGGTTTGGCAGGATTAACACTTTGCTCTAAGAGTATGGCATGACTAGATGTGAAGCTGATTAGTCTGTCTTCTTTTTGCATTCTTCACCAACCTGCCTCTACCTGTTGATCTATGTCGATGACATCATCGTCACTAGTAATGATAAGGCTGACATTCATCGGTTGAAACAACATTTGTCTCTCCACTTCTATACTAAAGATTTGGGGTCACTAAAATATTTTTTGTGGACTGAAGTTGCTCAATCCAAAACCGGTGTGTCTATTACTCAACGAAAATATGTTTTTGATATACTTGAGGAAATTGACCTGCTTGATTGCCGACCTAGTGACACTCCTATGGATCCTAACGTCAAGCAACTACCAGGTCAGGGGGAGCCACTGAAAGGCCCTGGTAGATATCGGCGTCTAGTGGCAAACATTACATTTGTTGTTAGTGTGGTTAGCCAATTTCTAAATGCTCTATGTGATGACCATTGGAACCCTGTGATTCACATTTTGAAGTATATAAAGAGTGCACCAGGTAAATGATTACTTTATGAAAACAAGGGCAACACCTAAGTCGTGGGTTATTCTAATGTTGGTTGGGCAGACTCACCATCAGATAGAAGGTCCACTTCAGGGTATTGTATTCTCACTGGAGTAAATTTGATCTCATGGTGGATCAAGAAACAAAGCATAATTGCAAGGTCTAGTGCAGTAGTAGAATACCGTGTTATTGCCGCAACTAGCAGCAACATGTGAAGTCACCTGGCTAAAACAGTTACTCCAACAACTCAAATTAGGAGACATTAAGGCAATGAAACTAATTTATGATAACCAAGTTGCACTTCATATCGCTTCCAATCCGTTTATTCACGAAAGAACTAAGCACATAGAGATCGACTGCCACTTTGTAAGAGATAAGGTTTTTTCAGGAAAATCATAACTGGTTTTAATGGTTCAAATGATCAATTGGCTGACCTATTCACTAAATCTCTTAGAGGACCTCAGGTTCAATCTATTTGTAATAAGCTTGGTGCATATGACATGTACGCTCCAGTTTGAGGAGGAGTGTTAGAATTAATTATGACTGTAGATATTCTAGAGTGATTGTTAGTATTCCTAGAATAAAGAACTTCCTGGGTTAGTGCTTATTCATTAAGCTTCAATGTATTTATTGTAACACTCTTATAAATACATACAGTGTGATCTAACTTAGGACACATAATTTACCGAATTTCTATAAATACAGTAGGAAAAATACAACATACACTTCAACACCAATATAATTAAGATAGATAAACATTTAATAATGAGTATTAATATTAACCAATCATCTTCCACCAATCAAGGACATTGATATCTGGTTTATGCTATACGAGTTAGAAGAAATAGTGCTGCTTCTGTAAACTCCGTTTTCAACATTGATAGCCGATGACGCTGCTCTGTCTGAAGACAATTTGCCACTTCCCCAATGGTGCTCTTCAAAAACTAATATTCCCTCGAGTTCCATTGCCACTTCTTTCATGGTGGGTCTTTCCTCACCCTTTACCCTTAGACACCTTTCTGCAATATGGGCAATTTTTTTAAGTTGCTCAGTATTCACATCATCTATATTGTTGTCCAAAATATGAAGTAACCGATTCTCTTTCATTGAAGAAACAAAGTACACTGCAAGGTTTCTATCTATCTCTGGCCTGCTAAATGACAGTGCCTTTTTTCCTGTCATTAGCTCTGCTAGGACAACCCCAAAGCTATATACATCACTTTTGTCTGTTAACTGGCTTGTGTGGAAATATTCTGGGTCAAGATACCCTAGTGTCCCCTGTACTAGAGTGGTTATTTGGCTATGATCAAGAGGAACAATCCTAGAAGCTCCAAAGTCAGAAACCTTTGCAGTGAGATTGTGATCTAGGAGTATATTAGCAGACTTCACATCTCTATGTATGATTGGCGTAGATGCAGCAGAATGCAAGTATGCCAAGACTCCAGCTGTTTCTTTTGCTATTCTCAATCTTGTTTTCCATGTAAGTTTTAAAGATTGGTTTTGATCATGGAGATGCTGATAAACAGTACCATTAGAAATGAATTCATAAACAAGCAAGGGAACTTCTGTCTCTAAACAACAACCCAAAAGCTTTACCACATTTCTATGGTTGATTTGGGAAAGCACAATCATTTCATTGATGAACGGCTCAATCTGGTTTGGGTCATTGATTTTGGATTTCTTTATTGCTACAATTCTTTTATCTTGTAAAATTCCTTTGTAAACTGTTCCCTGACCACCTTGGCCTAGGATCTTGCTTTGGTTGAAGTTGTTGGTTGCTTCATTTAGCTCCTCAACAGTGAAGACTTTAGTTGTTTCATCTGACCCTCCATGCATCACTAGTTGTTGCTGTAATAGTAAGCCACCGTTTTGTTGAAAAAATTGTTCTTTAAGTTTAATGAGCTTTCTTTTTTTCAATGCCAAGTATGCATAAAAGCTTCCGACCAGTAGCGCTACGAGGCTGATGCTGGCACCTGGACACAAACAAATGGAAGCATGATAACTTTCTTTCTGCTTTGCCTGGCTTGTAGATGTTTCAAGTCAATTTATGCTGTTTAAGACATCAGTCAAAATCTCAGAATGCGACTGTTCTTGTCTTGAAGGAATAATTTGGGTAAATGAGTTTCAATTCATAGGAACAATTTATAACACGGATTAATATTGTTGATTGCCTTAGAAACACCTTTCAAATTTTAACAATTTTCATTGTGATAATAAAATTGGTTTGACATTATCATGTTATGAATGAATCAAGAATATAATGTGTTGTACTCACTCAATGCAGTGATCAATATGATCTCTTTCCTTGATTTGGTATTTGATCTGCATCTTGTTCCATTCAACTTCCCGTTTCCCTCATATCTTGCCGGACATAAACAATGGTAGCTTCCGGGAGTATTGATGCACGTTGCCCCCTCAACACAGTCATTGGAATCCATGCATTCATTAATATCTAAAGAATAATTTGTTAGTTTTGTTTTCTGTTTTCACAATGAATAATTTAGAATTTAGCTTATGGTCATAAGATATCCATGTTTTTGGCTAACTGATTTAAAAGTCATATAATTGTTTCTATCTTTCTACAGGACACATAGGTTCCCTTTTGACACCTCAAAATTGTCATTTCCGTACGTTAAACTCACCCCTATTTCATTAAAACCGTTGATGATAGCACCGTATATAGGTAATATAACATTTGGATCAATGAAGTCACTTTTATTTTCCAGCTCTCCAATAAAATATAGTATATATATTATAATATCATATAATACCTTGGCAACCATGAATGAGGTAAGGATTTCCCCAATATCCATGAAAGCATCTGCAAAGGTAACCAGATCTCTCGGTCGCATCATAACATGTACTTTTGTTGTCCTTGCAGGCATAATTTGAAAGATCCTTCTGTGTTTGATGGCATGTTTGGTTCCCTACTGCCCAGTCCAACAACATAGGAAACTCCTTCTCCAACTTGAGCAGGTCTGTGGATTTGAAGTTGTAGGCTCCATTTTCAACCAAAAAAGCATAACCACATGGATTGAAGTCATATACTTCTGAGTGATTGTTGAATACACTCACTGAAGTATAGATTATTTTAGTTAACACGTGACCTTGAGGTATTGAAATCTCGCAACAACCAGTGCCAGAACAAGCTTCATTAGCCACAATATCATCAAGCCCGTTGCATAAAGCCACACATCCTGTGGTGTAGTTGTTTCCCACATCATCATATGCTGTGAGTGCTCCCATCGTATCACAGCCAACTGCGACCAACTTGTTTTGAGTTGACGAGATGGAAAAATGTTTTAGATCGATACCCCGATATATTTGGCTCACAAGTTTACTCTTTTCAGCATAGCAATCTCTCGCTACTGGCCATGCAACGTGAAGTTCACCATTGAGCGAGATGTTTAAGACACTTTGATTACTATGTGGCAAGGAAGGTACTTGTGATGAGGTTGAAGATGAAGATGTTTTGTTGCAATTTATGAGAAAGGTGCTGTCCAAGGAACAATCCTTGGTGGTTCCAAATGGGAAGGGAATGGTGACAGAGCCACACTTTGTTGGGCAGTTTGGTAGCGATAGTAACTGAGTTGTTGCTTTTATGAAAAAGACTGTAAGAACCGCCATCTTCAGTAGCTGTGTTGAGTGCACAACCATGGTCATGGCTTTGCTAATTTTTCAGGTTCATCGTTATACAATCTTTGGATTTTGATTTAGTATTTATTTTGTCTACTTATAATGCTATTTAAAAAGAGGAAAGTCAAAATGACTGATTCTTCTTGTATGCAATGGAATGACAAAATCAAACACAGTTTTGTCTAATACTTATAATAATGTAATTTTAGTTTTTGATTATAGTGATTGCAATGTCTCTGACAAATTGTTAATTTTATTTTTCCTTTAGGAAAAAAAGATGTTAATTACATTGTATAGGTAGAATAGGTCAGAAGACACACACTGTGTTAGAAATTTTTTTTAATCATGATCAAAAGCTACCTACTGGGAGTTAATACTGTGTCTTCTTTTATGACTAATTAGTAATTACCCTTATGTTGAATTCTAGTGGCGTAAATCTGTTTTTTTATTAATGGAAGTACTTGTATAGTAAAAAGCTTCGCATGCTACTTGGGTTCATATTAATGCGGCCATCACATATAAATTCTAAAAAAGAGATGATTAATTAATAAGGGAAGAATATCTTATAGAAGTCATAAATTCTTATTAAGATATAATACCACATAACACAGATGTCTTGTGCTTGTATTAGGTTCTCACAGCACCAGAACTCTGAATTGTAAGAACTTTTAATGCCAAATAAAACTAAACTTGTAAGTCAGATCATTGAATTTATAAATATCATTCATTATATTAAGATGAGAAATCTGCTGCGAAATCTTTTTCGCAATATTAAGTTGAAAAAAGATAACAAATAAGAGAGATAATAAGAAAAAATTGAACTGATATAGATATGTCCTGTAAGTAGGGGAATACAACATACACTGTGAGACCGTTATATCTGAGTATTAATATCAACTAATCATCTTCCACCAATCGTTGACATCGTAATCTGGTTTATACTATATGAGTCCGAGGAATTAAGGCCACCATCTTCAACATTGATAACCGACGTTTCTCTGAGCAAGTTGTTAGTCTCTTCTGAAGACAAATTGCTACGTCCCCAACAATGCTCTTCAAAAACTAAAATTCCCTCTAGTTCCATTGCCACTTCTTTCATGGTGGGTCTTTCCTCACCCTTCACCCTTAAACACCTTTCTGCAATATGGGCAACTTCCTTTAGTTGCTCAGTATTAGCCCCATCTAAATTTTTGTCTAAAATATGAAGTACCTGACCCTTTTTCATTGAAGAAACAAAGTACACTGCAAGGTTTCTATCTCCCTCTGGCCTGCTAAATGATAGTGCCTTCTTTCCCGTTAGTAGCTCTGCTAGGACAACCCCAAAGCTATATACGTCACTTTTCTCTGTCAACTGGCTTGTGTGGAAATATTCTGGGTCAAGATACCCTAATGTCCCCTGCACAAGGGTGGTTATCTGACTATGATCAATAGGAACAATCCTAGAAGCTCCAAAGTCAGAAACCTTTGCAACGAGATTGTGATCTAGGAGTATATTTGAAGATTTCACATCTCTATGTATGATTGGCGTAGATGCAGCAGAATGCAAGTATGCTAGGACTCCAGCAGTTTCTTTGGCTATTCCCAATCTTGTTTTCCATGTTAGCTTTAAAATTTGGTTTTGATCATGAAGATGCTCATAAACAGTACCATTAGAAATGAATTCATAAACAAGCAAGGGAACTTCTGTCTCTAAACAACAACCCAAGAGCCTTACCACATTTCGATGGTTGATTTGGGAAAGCACGATCACTTCATTGATGAACGGCTCAATCTGCTTTCTGTCACTGATTTTTGATTTCTTTATTGCTACAAGTCTTTTATCTTGTAAAACTCCTTTATAAACTGTTCCCTGACCACCTTGGCCTAGGATCTTGCTTTCGTCGAAGTTGTTGGTTGCTTCATTTAGCTCCTCAACAGTGAATACTTTAGCTGTTTCAGTTGACTTTCCATGCCTCATTATCTTTTGTTGTAACAGCATGCCACCATTTTGTTGAAAAAATTGTTCTTTAAGTTTAATGAGCCTTCTTTTCTTCAATGCCAAATACGCATAAAAGCTTCCCACCAGTAGTGCTGCGAAACTTATGCTGACACCTGGATATAAACAAATGGAAACTTGATTATTTTCTTTCTGCTCAGCCTAGCTTGTTGATGTTTCAAGTCAATTTATGTTGTTAAAGACATTGGTCAAAATCTCAAAATGCGACTGTTCTGGTTTTGAAGCAATACTTTGGGGAAATGAGTTTCAATTTATAGCAACAACTTATGACATGGATTAATATTGTTGGTTGCCGTAGAAACACCATTTCAAATTTTAACATTTTTCATGGTGATAATATAATTGGTTTCATATTATCATGTTATGAATAAATCAAGAATATATTGTGTTTTACTCACTCAATGCAATAATCAATATGATCTCTTTCCTTGTTTTGGTACTGGATTTTGGGTTGCATTTTGTTCCATTCATCTTCCCGTTTCCCTCATATTCTGCTGGACATATACATTGGTAGCTTCCAGGAAGATTGATGCACGTTGCTCCCTCAACACAGTCATTGGAGTCCATGCATTCATTAATATCTAAAGGATAATTTGTCAGTTCCAATTTCTGTTTTCACAATGGAGAGTGGAGTTTTCTAAATATATATATATATATATATATATATATATATATATATATATATATATATATATATATTGTGTGATACCTTGGCAACCGTGAATGAGGTAAGGATTTCCCCAATATCCATGAAAGCATCTACAAAGGTAACCAGATCTCTCAGTTGCATCATAACATGTGCTTTTGTTGTCCTTACATGCATAACTTGAAAGTTCCTTCTGAGCTTGCTGGCATGTTTGATTCCCTACAGCCCAGTCCAACAACACAGGAAACTCTTTCTTCTCCAGCTTGAGGATGTCTGTGGATTTGAAGTTGTAGGCTCCATTTTCAACCAAAAAAGCATAACCACAGGGATTGAAGTCATGTACTGCAGAGTGATTGTTGAATACACTTCCAGAAGTATAGGCTACTTGATTTAACACATGACCTTGGGGTATTGAAATCTCGCAACAACCTGTGCCGGAGCAGGATTCATTGGCCACAATATCATTATGCCTGTTACACAAAGCCACACATCCTGTGGTGTAGTTGTTTCCCCCATAATCAAATGCTGAGAGGGCTCCAATCGTGTCACAGCCAACTGCGACCAACTTGTTTTGAGTTGATGAGATGGAAAAATGATTTATACTCATACCCCAATATGTTTGGTTCACAAGTTTTCTATTTTCAGCATAGCAATCTCTGGCTACTGGCCATGCAACGTGAAGTTCACCGTTGAGTGAGATGTTTAGGACAGTTTGATTACTATATGGCAAGGAAGGTACTTGTGTTGAGGTTGAAGATGAAGATGTTTTGTTGCAATTGATGAGAAAGGTGTTGTCTAAGGAACAATCCTTGCTGGTTCCAAATGGGAATGGAATGGTGATAGAGCCACACTTTGTTGGACAATTTGGCATAGATATTAACTGAGTAGCTGCTTTTGCAAAAAAGACCATCATCAGCAGCAGCTGTTTTGACTGCACAGCCATAGGCATTTCTTTGCTAATTTTTCAGGTTCATCTTTATACTAATCCATGGGTGATTTTTAGTATTTATTTCTTCTTCTTGTAATGCTATTTAAAAAGAGAAAAGTCAAAATGACTGATTTGTTTTGTATGAACACGCAAAAGGTTTATATATTAGGTAGGTTTCTGTCAAATAAAGTGTCTATAAGGAACCGTTGACTTTGTTATAATTCCAAATGTGAATTTGCATTCATGATGTATATAAAATAATGCAATTTATGAAACAATTTATGAAGAGTATAAAGAGAACTAAAATTTATATTTATTTAAACTTAGTACTTTCAATCAATTAAAAAAAGACTTAAATTAAGTACTTTCAATTAAAAAAAAAAATCTAAAATAAAACGATATAAATTGTATCATAGTTATTTCACATTGAGAAAATAGATTTTCAAGTCTGCCTCATTCAAAGACAAATTATATGTTATATGTAATTAGCATCTAACATGAGTGAAACAAACACAAATAACATGGAACATATCTAATTAACATATAACATGAGTGAAACAAAGACAAATAACAATAACAATAACATATCTAATTAACATATAACATTTATGTAATTAACATGAAACATAAACAAAAAACAGAGACAATTTACAAATAATAATACGAGTGAAGTGCCGTCGCCGACGTATGTAATTAACAACAAGAAACATTGCGAATAATAAAGAAAAGAAATGAGTATCGAAAGAGAAAAAGTGGAATATCACGGTGGCGACGATGGAATGTTGGTGTGCGACGAAGATGAAAACTGTTCTGGACTGGACCCGACAGGCCCAATAGCATTGCTAGGGCCCAATCCAAATGGACTTGCTGAGGACCACGCCGACCAAAGGGTCACAGTCGTGCCCGACGTGCTCCCTAAGGTTACTTGCTCGACCTCTACATCTCCAGCTCGACATCCTGCTGTCCAGCTCGACATCACCTCGAGCACCCCAACTAGGGCAGACTCAGTCCACTGCACTCCCAACGAGACCCCGAAAAGACCGCGTCTCCGTCCGCCCGCACTTCACGCAGAACATCCAAGAAGGGGACCACGTGCGGGTCCCCACTACGCACGTAGAACCTGGCAGTTCCTCCATTGGGCCAAACCTGCCCGGCCCAAGGGAGGAACCTTGGCCCAGCGCTGGGGGCTATAAATACCCTCTGTTTCCAGAGGGTCAGGGATTCATCATTCTACCCATACTCACTATTTGCCTGCTCGTGCTTCTACTTACTTCAGCATCGGAGTGTCTTGCAGGTACCCCCCACCTCGTTCAAAACTTTCAGCTCGGAGCCAGCCGTGACGGTCCAAGTCTGATCAGGTTAGATCAGTGGCGCCGTCTGTGGGAATCTAGCTTCCCCGTCTTACATACAACTCAAAAGACCAAAGCTCATATTCAACTACCTGTCATGGCTGATCCAGCTCGCGATGAGCAGAACGTCCGTGTCGCCGATATTAATAACGGCACGGCGGACAAGAACGGATATCTCGACAATCCCGGCCACAACACCATTCCTGCAACAACCGTCCCCAGAACTTCCTCATACAGGGACGGGGCTACTGCATCATCCTCCTCGCTCCCACCACCACTTGAGGACGACCCGACGGCCCTCGCCCACTACAGAGCCGTCCGGTTTCAGGAAGTCCCCGTCCCCTCCGGGGCGGATGCCACCACACAAGCGCTGTTCGCAGCAATTAACCAAACGAACTATCTCATCTTCGCCCAAGGAGAGAGATTAAAGGCGCTTGAAGACGAGCGAAGACCCTCGAGGAGGCATCGGAGACCACATACTCCCCCTCCTCGGGTGACTGAAGCCCGACACCCTTCTCCCCCGCGGAGACACTACAGGGAAAACTCCAGAAGCCCTTCTCCCCGGCCAAAGCAGAGGCGACCCTATTTGGAGAGAGATCCCATCATCCCCGCCGGAGAACCCGGTCGCGACCCGGCGAGGCACGACAAGAGACACGCCGGAGACGGTCGTGTAACATTCAACCAACGAGCATCACGCTCGAGGGAGGCTCAGCACGACCATCGTGCCAGACAATATTACAGGTCCCCATCTCTGTCTCCGGAGAGGAGCGACGAGGACGACCCCCGCGGTCCCCTGTCGCAGGCCATCATGGATGCACCCATCCCCCTGGGCATGGAGAAGCCCCCACATCTGAAGGAGTATGACGGAGTTGCGGACCCGGTCGACCACATTGACGGGTTCGAGGCCATGCTCCATTATCATAATGTCGGGGGGCCCATCAAGTGCCGTCTTTTCCCCACGACTCTCAAGAAGGCGGCCATGGACTGGTACAAAGGGCTCGCCCCGGGCTCAATCACCTCGTGGCGGAACCTGAAGAACCAGTTCATCAGTTCCTTCACCGCTTCTCGACGCCATCCAAAGACCGAGGCGGCGCTCGAGGCCATCATCCAAAGACAGGATGAGACCTTGAGGGAGTTCATCAACCGCTTCAACCGAGAAGCGATACAGGTCCCCTGCACGGACCACATGAAGAGATATCTGCTGGAGAGGGGGCTTCTCCCCGGCACATAATTCAGAAAAGCCGTGGGAATCGAGCCGCCCAGGTCTTTCGACGCCCTCCTCGATAAAGCTCGAGCATACATGGATTACGAGGAGAGGGAAGCTGCCAACAGGGCCCGAGACTCCAGGGCTCGGGGTCCCAACAACAGCAGCAGCTCACGCCAAGAGGCTCCTCCCCGACGAACCGGGGAGAAAAGGAAAGAAGACCGACCCCGGGAAGTCCGGGAACAAAGGGGCCCCTCGGGCCGTTTCACCGAGTACACTCCGCTCACAGCTTCCCGCGAGCGTATTCTGGCGGAGTGTGCCAGTACAGACTTCAAGGACGGCGGCGTCAAGCGTCCCCGACCTGCTCCCGCCAAGCCAGGGGCGGACAAAAATAAATACTGTTAATACCATAGGAGTCATGGTCATCTGACAGAGGACTGCGTCCACCTCAAGGACGCCATTGAAACCCTCATCAAGGGAGGGAGGCTCGCGCAGTACAGGCGAAACGACGCTCCTCGTCGTGACGCCCATGAAGCCAAGGAGCCGGAAGAAGACGCCCGACCATCAGACGAGTCGGTGCCTATCCAGACCGCCTTCTCGGTGACCAGGCCCGAGGATTTCGACATTCCCGAGCACCTGCAGGAGCCGCTGACAACGCACAACAGGTGGGAATACTTTCCCTCCGCCATGGTCATTAATGGGGGCGGGTTCAACGACCTCACCATCAATTCAGCTAAGAGGAAGTTGGACGAGCTAGTCGACGCGGCTCCCCCGCAAACAGTAACGTTCGAAAGGGTGAAGGGCAGGTCAGAGCCCATCACCTTCTACCTAGAAGAGCTCCCCGGCGGAGCCCCGAACGCAGTCATCCCCTTACTGATAAGGGCAAGAATGGCCAATTTTGACGTGCATCGCATCCTGGTCGACGAAGGGAGTTCCGTCGACGTGATGTACAGCCAGCTGTTCCGAACCCTACAGCTGGACGACTCACATCTCTCTCCGTATGTGGGGTCGGATCTACAAGGCTTCAACGGCTCGACTTCCAAACCTTGGGGTTATGTCGAGCTCCTGGTTACGTTCGGCGAAGGAATGACTACGAGACAAGTTAAAGTCCGTTTCCTCGTCATTGACTGCCCGTCTCTATACAATTGCATCTTGGGGAGACCGACACTGGCAGAGCTAACAGCGGTGCCCTCGACCGTCCATCTGAAGATGAAGTTCTACACCAGGAGGGCACGGGTAGCCACCATCCAAGGAGACATAGCCGCTGCCCGTAGGTGCTTCAACGCCGCTTCTAAGGGACGGGATACCGTCGACATAGGGACCAGACCCGCTAAAAGGACAAAACAGGAGCCCGACAGGAAAGCATCCCCCGAGGAAGAAGTCCAGAAAGCTCCACCAAAGGTCGACTCCATAGCCCTGGACACCCGCTTCGATCAGGACGAGCCATCCAGCAGCGAGCAAATCCCACTCCGACCAATACCGGACGGGGATTTTGAACTCGTTCCCCTCGGCACCGACCCGACCAAGGGAGTGAAGATTGGCAAAGACCTCCCCGACTTGGCCAGGAAGCAAATCAAGGCCTGTCTGCGCGAGAATGCTGATCTTTTCGCCTGGAGCGCTGCAGAGATGCCCGGACTCGACCCTGAGGTCGCCTGTCACCACCTCGCCATTGATCCAGCCGCTAAGGCCGTAGTACAACGTAGGCGTAGGCAGTCTCCAGAAAAAACGGAGGCTGCTGAAAAAGCTGTAAAAGACCTCCTAGAGGCAAATTTTATTTCTGAAGCCCGGTATTCCACCTGGCTGTCAAATGTTGTACTCGTGAAAAAGAATAATGGAAAATGGAGAATGTGCGTTGATTATACTGATCTCAACCGGGCTTGCCCGAAAGATGATTTTCCCTTGCCTAACATAGATATGCTGGTCGACAACTCGGCCGGCTACAAAACTTTGTCGTTCATGGACGCCTATTCGGGCTATAACCAAATCCCAATGGCCCTGGGCGACAAACACTGCACGACATTCATGACCAGCTCGGGCAACTATTACTACAACGTAATGCCCTTCGGACTGAAAAATGCCAGAGCAACTTACCAACGCATGATGAACAGAGTTTTCAACAAACAGATCAGCGACATGCTCGAGGTATATATGGACGACATGATCGTCAAATCCCGAGCAGACACCGACCACGCAACGCATCTCAAGACAGTCTTTGCCCAAGCAAGGCAATGTAAAATGAGGTTCAACCCCGAGAAATGTACGTTCGGGGTTAAGGCAGGAAAATTCCTTGGATTCTATCTAACAGAACGGGGAATCGAAGCCAACCCCGACAAATGCCGGGCATTCTCCGACCTCCCAACACCGACGTCGAAGAAGTCGATACAAATCATGAACGGCATGCTCACGTCGCTGTCCCGCTTCGTCGCGAAATCCGCTCAGCACGCCCTCCCCTTCTTCAAACTCCTTCG